TAGTAGTGTATATATGTTATCCGATATGGCTCTCAGTCACGTGACAAAAGGACCAGTCGGTGAAATGGCTCTCAGTCACGTGACAAAGGGATAAGTCGGTGATATGGCTCTCAGTCATAGCAGGACAATGGGGCCAGTCGGTGATATGGCTCTCAGTCACGTGACAAAGGGATCAGTGGGTGATATGACTCTCAGTCCCGTGACAAAGGGACCAGTCGATGATATGGCTCTAAGTCATAGTGTGACAAAGGGATCAGTCAGTGATATGGCTCTCAGTCACGTGACAAAGGGATAAGTCGGTGATATGGCTCTCAGTCATAACGTGACAAAGGGACCAGTCGGTGATATGGCTCTCAGTCACGTGACAAAGGGACCAGTCTGTGATATGGCTCTCAGTCCCGTGACAAAGGGACCAGTCGGTGATATGGCTCTCAGTCATAGTGTGACAAAGGGATCAGTCGGTGATATGGCTCTCAGTCACGTGACAAAGGGACCAGTCGGTGATATGGCTCTCAGTCATAACGTGACAAAGGAACCAGTCTGTGATATGGCTCTCAGTCACGTGACAAAGGGGCAAGTCGGTGATATGACTCTCAGTCATAACCTGACAAAGGGACCATTCGAGTTTTAAACATTTGATTTGATACGTACATTGTTTGTGAAGAAAGTAATATTTTGATATTCAGATTGGTTCACCTTAGTAGTCAACGTCAGAGAAATTGATATTAAGTGTAACTCGGAACAACTTATTTTGTAGTATTAATCTGCAATTTAACTATTTATTCCTTTTTTAACAATTTAACCATTGTGATATTGCTGTTATTTACTTACAAACATTGAATAAAATACAGAATATTTGTTATTATTTAAATTGTTTTTCAATGTTGTGCGTAATTTCTAAGAACACAATAATCTAACCAGCATATGTTTAATTATTCTGAGATTTAATTCATTCTCATTTGAAATTTAAAGTAGATATCTGGTGTAGACGCTATATTCACAGAAATGAATCCAACAATGAATATTTGCATCATATTATTAACCAATTAATATGCTTAATACCGGGCAGAGCTTTCTTCAAATAAAATGATAACTGCCATTCAGCTTTACTTCATTTGTTATTTCCTTGGAGAGTGTTGCCGAAACTCATAGATACCATGCATTGTTACTATTTAGGAACATGTAAACTATTGTGCTGTAGGAACATATATCCGCCATTCGTATTTACTTCAGAAGAAACGTTCAACTGAAGAGCAGGAACGCATTAAGGCTATTCTCTTAACGTGGAACCTAATGGGATTGTTTAAACAAATGTTGCTGCTAGAATATATAGTCGCCATACCGTCCATCTTAGAGTGGTTTTTAAACAACGCGTGACGAAAGAATGCATGGTCACCGTACGTCTTTATATAGAGGAATTGCTTAAATAAAGGGACTGTCGTAAGAATATATAGTCGACATACCTTTTTTACTGCTAGGGATTCTTAAAATAAATATTGCCTTCAGAATACAGAGTCTGCGTACCTTATCACTTAGAGAGATTGTTTAAATAGAGTGTGTCGTAAGAATTAGGCATCGCCATACCACTTTACTTGGAGGGATTTTTTAAATATTGTATGCCGTAAGAATATATGCAATGTAGTCGCTACATATATTTATTTGATATGATTTGTGTGACTTACACCTGTTAATGTGTAACGTAAAATGTCATTGTGGAAAGAACATTCTCTTCGTGCCTAAATTATGTGTTTTATTTCGACATGAATTTAATTTTGGTAAGGGGACCTTGCAATAATAAGACGGCTAGTATGGGTATTCCTCAAATGAATTTTAAAAAAAAATAAAAAAAATATATCAATAGATTTAGCTTGAAAATTATCGAACAGCTTTTTTAGTATGGTGATAATTCATGAAATACCAGCATCCCTTCCTCGATAGGCAATTCCCTGTTCACGTGTAAGAAATGCAAGCTGTAGCGTTATCTGAAATAGCGAATACCATCTTACATAGTTCCATACAATCCATATAGCCCGCATGTACAGCTATTTCTATCAATTACACTAGAAACATGGTACATAGATCTACACCTATACAGTTATCTTTTTGTGTGTAAATACATATTTAAGAGGCGTTTGGGATACATTTGGTTTAAAGAAATTATTTCATTTTTCTGTTTTGAATGCATATTATCTAAAACTTTGAGGTTGCTTTTTATTCTTTGCGTATTCGGAAAGGTAAAGGATGACACAGGTTTTTAGTAGATATTTCATCTGACATTTGAACCGGACTATGGAATATATGTGTAATATATTGTATTGGAACATACTATGCCTCCTAACGAGTGTCCACACGTAGATAAAACAATAGATATTCTTTATTTACATGTGCGAGTAAACAGACTAGCAGGAAAGCGGTTGGTGCTATTACATTGAAAATGTATCAGAACGAGTCTGTCAGAATTTGATCTGTAGAATTGTGAGATAATTTATCATACAGCGTGGCTACTTTGATGTTGACAATCAATGTCATCCAAACTTTGGCAATGGTCGCTGGGACCGACCTGTACTTTGTGCGTTTTATGGGTCGGAATTTTGAAATGTCTACCAACTGACCAATACAGCCTCTTCTGCTTAATGGAAAAGCTGTGTTTGTTATTCCTGGGATAAGGCGGCGTTTTGGTCTTCCCGACGAACTGCTTTTGGATTTAAGTAAAATCACATAGGCTGACGGCAATTATCTTCATTGTCTTCATATGTAAGTGCAGTATTGGTGTGTGTGCACCAACTCAGCTTACACCTATTTGTGTTGCATGCCTTGAAACCACCAGTAGCTGGAGTAAGAGAGACGTTCCTGGCTACTATTGTCTTTGAATTTGGCGAGTGGTAACTGTCTGTTATCGTCTGTTATTCTCTCCTCATCTACAACAGATAAAACATTTCTAAATTAGTATTTCATGCAAACATTGTCAGAGTACATACCAGCATCACGTTAACGGCTATCGAATAGACGTAACCTGTGGTGGTCGTATGGTGCAGTGGATAACATACTCGTTTTTCATCAAGACGGCCGGGTTTAGATTTCCCGATCGGGCGTGAAAAGGTCAAGGGACACCTGTGCGACCACGTGTTTGGCCGGGTTCTCTTGTTTCCTCTCATATTAAGACACATAAGCGCTAACAGCGTGGCACTTAAGAATGGTTGATTCCGATATGGATGTATTAGCTTCTAGTTGTACAATTGTGAATTACTTTGTGCTCTACTCTGTAGTCCTGACTGATTTCGACATGGATATGACTTCTGAATATTTTGCCTCTTTATTCTATTGTGGGACTTGAAAATATTCATATAGTTACGCAATGCTGTAAAGTATGAATTATCAAAATTCAAATTGGTGTTTTGACACTAACAGCAAGTGTTCGTCGTATAACTGCAAAAATACTGTACAGATAAAATGTCTGTTTGCATACAAATATAGCTCTGTATAAATAACCTTCCCATGGAAATGTCAAAAAGCCTCATCCAAATTAGCTATAGTGGAACATGTCAATTTAAGTAAAAAGGTACTGTAAACAACATTTATACAGTTAATGTAAATAACATTCAGTTTGTAAATAAATTAAAACATATAGAAATGGCACCAGGTGTGTTCATGCCGTGATTAACTGAAAATGCAAATTGAGCGTTAAAATAAAACAAATGCTCCTGTTTTACTAATGAAACCAATTGGCTTACTATAAATAAAGGGGGTATGTTAATTTATAATATATCACTAGTTTTAACTGACGTATGAGTTATCACAAGCGTATACGGCCTTAATCCCAATCTGACTTCACAATATATATGTGACTTCATAATGATAAAAAAGCCAATCGGACTTACTAATGCTAAAAAGCATAGGTTGAACTAATGGTCAGAAGTGTACACGGCCTTACTAATGGTCAGAAGTGTATACGGCCTTACTAATGGTCAGAAGTGTATACGGCCTTACTAAGGGTCAGAAGTATACACGGCCTTACTAATTATCAGAAGTGTACACGGCCTTACTAATGGTCAGAAGTGTACACGGCCTTACTAATGGTCAGAAGGGCACACGGCCTTACTAATAATCAGAAGTGTACACGGCCTTATTAATAATCAGAAGGGCACACGGCCTTAATAATAATCAGAAGGGCACACGGCCTTAATAATAATCAGAAGGGCACACGGCCTTAATAATTATCAAATTATCAGAAGGGCGCAGAGCCTTAATAATTGCCAGAAGGGCTAAAAGCCTTAATAATTGTCAGAAGGCCACACGGCCTTACTAATGGTCAGAATGGCAAACGGATTTACTGATGATCAGAATTCCACACGGCCTTATTAATTAATGACAAGGGCACACGGCCTTACTAATGATGACAAGGGCACATGGCCTTACTTATGATCAGAATGTCTCACTGCCACAAGGGCACACGGCCTTACTAATGATGACAAGGGCACACTGATTTACTGATGATCAGAAGGGCACACGGACTTACTAATGATGACAATGGCACACGGATTTACTGATGATCAGAATGCCACACTGCCTTACTACTAATGACAATGGCACACGGTTTTACTGATGATCAGAAGGGCACAGAGCCTTTGTTCAGGGTTAAGGAAACAACTATTCTAAAATAGTAAATAAGGGACAACAACAGAAACCAAGAAGACTCAAAAACAAAAGATAGAGACGACAACAGAAAAAAACAGACATACAAATAAAAGAATGACATTATGAACCCCTTAATCAAGCCTTGAATTTATAATAAAATAGTCACGTTTTCATTGATATATCTAAGCAGTGACTAGTGACGTGTTTATTGGTTGGGTTAGGGTATTGGTTAAAACTAGGATTGTTCTCGTCTAAAGTATTGACTGACGTCTGTTCGGACTGTATGTGTCAGCGAGTGAGCAGCGGCCGCGCTATGTGATAGAGTTGCTGCAGAGGCTGATTGTGTGTATATATCTGTATTTCAGAGCTCCGCTGATGAGGTACATTCACAGCAGTAGAGAGCATAGATAGCTGTGGATTTTCTCGAGAACTCCTAGGGCAGGTAGGTCAATTTAACTATATTAACTATGATTTTAACCCTGATGCTTTGACCTTAGATAAAGTGAAATTAAAAGTACTATTTGTATACTAGATATATTTTATAGTATGTTTTATTGAAATATCATTTTCCTCTTCTTCATGGTTTAATGTCGCCATTAATATTCATTAATACAGTGACCATTTACATATCACTAAATTTGGAGATTGTCCTTTTTGTTTACATATTACTATTAATTAGGTTATTAAGGAAGTTTTCCAAAGAATTGTAAGAATTGATTTGTGTCCTTTGGCATTTTTCACTTATTAGAAACCGAAATTCTGCATTTTTTTCTTCTTCGATATATATTTTGTAATGTAGATCCGTTGCACATCATGCATATCCAAACAAATGCTGATTTACAGACAATTAATATATCCAATTATTATTTACCGCAATTTTAAAAGAATGAATGAGGTCGGAAAGAAAAACATACATACTTTCTTAATAATTGTGAACTTTTTGTATTCGATAAATGAACATATTCTCATCAGGTACATAATTATCAGAGTATCAGAAACTGAACATTCAGATTATGTTTTCCTGACAACTTGATACGATTTTGACAAAATTAGGAATTATGACAAAATGTCAACCGAAATATTCCAATCCGGAAAAATATGGCAGAAATAACCAAAAGTATCGCCAGTAACGGGGAACTGTTTGCTTTCTAGTTACTTGAATGTCAATTAGCAAATCGTCCAATAATATTTTAAGAACACATCCTGATTTATGTCATATCATATTTTTGTTCAAAAAGTATGTTTCTCTGTTTATTTCATACTACAGCTTCTATAAGACAGCTGTTGTTTCTTATCAATGTCATACCACAGCTTGTAACGTACTAGTGTTGTTACTGTTCAGTGTCATACTACAGCTTGTAACAGACCGATGTTGTTCCTGTTCCATGTCGTACTACAGCTTGTAACGTACGTGTTATTGTTCAGTGTCATGCCGCAGCTTGTAACAGACCGATGATGTGACCGTTCCATCTTTTACCGAAGGTTTAACGGCCTTACATTGTTTATGTTCAATGTCATACCACAGCTTGTAAAAGACTGGTGTTGTTAATGTTCAGTGTCATGCAACAGCTTGCAACATACTAGTTTTGGTACCTATTTATGCCGCACCACAGCTTGTAACAGAGTGGTGTTGTTACCGTTCAGTGTCATACCACAGCTTGTACCAAACAGATGCTGTGACTGTTCCATGTTATACCGAAGGTTTAACCGCCTTATATTGTTTATGTTCAATGTCATACCACAGCTTGCAACATACTTGTGTTGTTACTAATCTATCTGATACCACAGCTTGTAACAGACTGGTGTAGTTTATGATCAATGTCATACCACAGCTTGTACTAGACTGATGCTTTAAATAATATGTCTTACTAATGATTACTAAATTAAATAGTCTGGTTGTTTTTTTCCCGGTTGTTGTCATACCACAACTTGTAACAGACTGATGTTTTATTTCTGTTACATATTACAGGTCGTACTGGACCAATGTTTAGCTTTTTCACAGCTGTCAATAGGCTGGTTGTTTTTTCCCTTCATTCATATTCCACAGCATGTTAAACACGGATCTTATATCTGTTCAACGTTATGCCAGAGTTTGTAACAGAATGTTGTTGTTTCAGTTTATTTTCATTCCACAGCTTGTTAAATACTGATGTAGTTTATGTTTATTGTAATACCACAGCTTGTAACACACTAGTGTTGTTAATTGTCCATGTCATATCAAAGCTTGTATCATACTGGTTTTGTTACTTGTCCATGTCATATCACAGCCTGTAACATACTGGTGTTGTTACTTGTCCATGTCATACCAAAGCTTGTATCATATTGGTGGTTTGCCTTTTCTGATGAATGTCATATCGCAATGTTTGATAGATAGGAGATATTCTATCTTTTTAATGGTACGTGTTATATTTAAAACATATATTTGTTCCAAATAAAAGCTTTTGAAAGACCAGGAACTTGTATCTATTCGATGTCATGAAAAAACTTATAAGCATAAAAGGTGTTTTTGTCAGTTTCATCTTAACTCAAAGCTTGTTGCACATCAGGGAGCAGTATACAGTAGAAATGGCCCGACTCTGATAAACAAGGAACATGTCGAGGAAATGTAAACACAGCGGATTTACCCTACACAACACATGTATACATGTATATATATTTGTAAACTGCATTACATTTACAATACATATAAAGTACTGAGAAGTGTATAAACCTCTTTTTTCTATGTATGTCACTTATGTGAAAACCATGGTTACCACATCAAATATTACCAAAAAATGCTAAAAAATGCTATTTTTAACCCAAAACTTGACCCCCGCAACTAGTATTTTTTTTCCTAAGCTCTGTCTGAAATTAAAGATTACCTACCTGGTTGCAGAATTATCTGGGTCCCAGTTAAGTTGTAAAACTTGATTTTTTGCAATTTTGCGTCGTGTGCTGTTGTCAAAATTTTACCTCCTGTAAAGCTAGCTTTTCATGTGTACGCACCCTTTCGGATTATGGCCAAAATTTTATTCTCGAACCAAAAAAATCTTCTTTCTTTTTTACAAATGTGAAGCTCACATAGCCCACTTCATCATGCTTATACCAATTTTAATACAGTTTTATTTTTATATTTTTTTTACATATCATTATACAGGGGTTAGCCATTTAACAAAAATATCACCCATGGCCACAACCCTCTACTGTATACTGCTACCTCATGGTTAAATGCTATTTCATTGGTCATAAAAGTTATTATAGACAAGGTTTTTCTTCCGATTTATATCTGTATCAGTCAATGTTTTTTTCCGTTTCATTCAAACAAAGCACTTTTGTTTTACTTTATATCGATATGCTACAATCAGACGGTTATAAGCAATGTCATGATTATATGAAAATAAATGTATGTATTGCTTAATATTTGAGAGATGATTGACAGATAATTCAAAATAGTTTCTTTAGGTTGTAAGTAAGAATTGTAGAATGGTTTATAGTACCTTTAATGAGTGTGTATTCTATCACTTTCATTCGGCTAATGACTAGTGAAGCGTATGTACACACAAAAGTAAAATTTATAGTTGACAATATGAAATCGATGACATAAGCGTCTATACCCTTGGTTTTTATCCTTGTTCGAAAAAACAAACCAAACCCACTAATCGATTCGGATACGCTATTTCAAATACCTTGCTATATACCACCATTGTGTCCTTAAATATGTCCACTAGTTGCAGTATTTCCTAGAATTTAGCAGACGTTCTTAGACCTGTAATTTATCCGAAAATATCCAGGATCTAGGTTATATCGCGGCCATGGTAGAAGCAATGCAGCCAGTCACGATGATACACCCTAAGGATAGAACACCTCAGGAAACATTACAGAATGCATTTCTGATGCAATTGTTAACTGTGACGCATCGCATCCTAGGTGGTAAACTGAAAGGCGATTGGAGGGCCGACTTATGAACAACGGAGAATACGGAAACACAAGAGGGATATAAATCCACCGGATCATATAGGCAGACTTTCCAAATCAACAAATTAGCAACCACATTCCAAGCCATACAAGAAAGGCTTGTAATTGACTGGGATCACTCCAAACTATTGAACAGAGAGAGCTATCTATTCAAGCGGCAGATAAAGGAGCCATATGGATACACCCTAACGAGCCAGTTCCGGATTAGAGATGAGGGAGCTCATAGATTCACGCAAATCAACTTTGAAAACATTTGTAAACATACACTTTACTGATTATTTGTCTGATGAAGGTAAAAGATTATGTACGTTACTAGTTATCGAAACGTCACATAGTAGTACGTATTGGTGGTGCTAAATTAACCTCTACGATTCATGAAGTTGGGCTCGGCTTTACTGAAGCATATCCTACCACATTGTTCCCTTTAGTTCCTCTAATTGTGTGGAAGGCCAGTAAGTGCCGTGTAGGTGCATATATGTTATGTCCTATTGGTCTGTATTTGCAACATTCATTTAAAAATAAACAGCTGTTTTATGCTTTCTTTGAAACCTTAAAATAGAAATATATTTGCTGACATAAGCAATCACAATCACAGGAACATTTTCTTTTTACATTGATAACTCCAAAGAGTTATCAATGTAAAAAGAAAATGTTACAACTGTGTTTATTTGTCCAAAGTGCTTTTGAGTTAAAAGCCCTTCGCTCTACTGATCTCAGACGGTTTCAGACAATGTGTCACTAGTGCGGAACGATCATTTGATACATAAAAACCATAGTAGCTACAACCATTATGTCATAAAACAGCATTTACAGTTATTGCATCGGAACATCAGAACAATAAATCGAAATGAGAATTATAACGTGAGGCGTGAGTGTGTCGACTACATTAACCATCCACTATAGAATATCTATCCAGGTTAGATCGTTTTGCAATGTCGTAATATTTTGATTTTGGCAGCAGTTAATACAGCAGTTAAAGGTTAATTCAAAAGCTTAAAACATCAGCTAATACAAACGAGCGGATTTAGGATAAACGTGTTTAAAAACAATAATAGGTAAAGTTCCAATTATCGAAACAGTAAGAGTAAGTAAATTTACATTTGTCAACTAATACTGTTTGATAAAGTAAAGTTGTACGTGCCGAAATGTCAGCTTATACAGTCCAAACTGTTAAAGTTACATGTGCCGAAACACACATAACTAATAATGTTTAAGTTGCCGAAATTCTATCTAAATGTAGTCGTAAGAGATAATTTATACTTTTGTCATGTGTTAAGATGGACTTTCCAAAATGCCAGCTAATATAATCGTATTGAATAAATCCGCACTTACCGAAAAATTACCTAATACAAATATAAGTTGCAGTCATGCATACTGAAATACGTTTCCAGCCATATTTGGCTACGATTTTTTTCCAAATACCGAATCAAATTAGATGTTAATATCATGAACGGGATACTTCGCAATCGGAAATAAAACGGGACCGTC